CAATTGATTATTTGTGGATTTTATAACTTGGTTGTCATCGAACAGCAAGAAAATGTCACACGTATACTGAAGATCGAAGTCTTCTCCTAGGTAACGATGTCACGTCACCACTACCTAGTTTCATAGCAGCTGTTCCCAGGATGTCTCCGGCGGTGCATTTGAAGAGAAACATTGAGGCTGGGCGGCCATGTCTGACACCACTTCTGAAGAGAGGTGGTTGTATTTCCTCACTCTCCCTGAGGCATTCAAGATGCTAATAAACTTCCAAGAACAGCCTTTTCCAACGGACGATCCCGGAACACAGTCTTATCCAACAGATTATGGATGATCACGGGTGAGGTACTATACAAAAATATTTATGAACTTTAACAACAAAGATTTCAGTTAGTGACTTAGTCTTCTCGTATTATTTTCGGTAGAAAATGTTATTCAGGACATAGAAATTCGCAAAGCCAATAATAATATACCGGACAAACATTATGACTATAAACTAGAGTAACTACATGTGTGAATAGGAAAAAAGGTAAAAAAGAAAAAGCACACATAACCAAATCTTCGGATAAACAAAGAATGATAGCAACCTTTACTCAATGAACGTTACTTGCAAGTTCCTTCTGAGATAGCCACCGAAAATGGAGTTCACTCGTTTAACAAATGTTTAGAAGACATTAAGACTCATAAATGAAGGGATAAATGTTTGTTCAGTATCACTCTGTATTTTCATCTGCCTACATTTATACTTTGATTCATTGTTTATCGATTGATGCCAAATATGTAGGCCTGTTGATTGGACGCTTTTTCTTTATCCCTCATATCTATGTAAGTCGATTCAAAACCTCTTTAAATACTGGTATTCTATCATGGGTTCCCTCGAAGCACCACTCATGTATTTTAGTACTATCAAGTTAGCAATGTTGCCAATGAGGATAAGGTACCAAGTAAATATGCCGAACTGGTTAATGTGGCAGTGAGTCCCCATCGGGTAAGGCCGTCGAGACATGTATTACATATGCTCAACTCTAGTCTACACCGACGTCCGTTGTTTTTTAATGTGGGAGTAGTTTGTGAGGAAGCTGGGTGCAGTGATATTAGGAAATTTTACGAGTCAATAGAGTCATCGATTGTTGAACTGAGCCATGTAAGTAGGTTCACATGACATGATTAGGGTCCGCGAGACCACTGTAACAAACAGTTGGAGACTGGATGTCACGGCTGAAAAATCGTTCATAATGACGTAGATGTGTGAAACAAGAAATCTTACACCCACGTGGAGGAGCATAGGCCACCCACCAGAATTCTCTATCCAACTCTGTCCAGGGCACCCCCAAATGCCCTGGTACGACCGACAGTGGAGAGAGTCCGCTCTCCCTCTCAAAATGCTCTCACATGGCCACGTGTATATAACTTCTGCTAGGGAGGTTCTACTCACTGCCTTCTCGTGGCACTACTGTTGTTTACGAAATTGAGAAAACGAAAAGCGAATATCCGGCACTTTAACCGGGTTGGTGGACACGGAGGGTTCACCTAGTGGAGTTGGGAAACCCTGCTTCTAAACCAATGGTGCACATGGGCTCCAGTATCCTGAAGGAACAAATGGCGTATGAACCAATCGTTGGTCACCGGCTACCATGGGACTGCATCTCCTGACGATGCTCCACTTCCTTGTGGACTACGTCTTCAGGTCAAAGGCTCGGGGTGTGGCCCCCTAAGAAAACCACCTGCTTTAGTCTGGGCACCTGGGCAGTATCACAGCCCTCACAAAAACGAGGAACGGTTTTTGTTCCTATATTCAGCTAAAGTATTTGCTATTCACAGATATTCTCAATATTTTTATTGCATGAAATAATTTTACAAAATCTTTTATTATGGTTCGATCTAGAACATGATATACCTAAACAACGCTTATAATGTTTGATTTTTGCAAAATTCCTCGACTCTAGTAAGAACATTTAAAAAAACGATAGTAATGGCACATGTCTTAGTGGTGCACTCTGGTACATGCTATGTACCACTCTTGAGACTTGGTAGTACGATATGATTTCACCTAAATTTTGGTGTTGCCAAACCTGAACCAAGCATCCACTACTTTAGATCTTATTTTAAACTGTTAAGTTACGACAATAACTTTCTGTCCAACGTCTGTTTGTTACGTTGATCAACAATATCACTTAAATGCAGGTTACTGGAACCAAATAAGTTGACTTCTTTGGAAAAATAGATTTTTTGCATGGATTTTTCAATAAATCTGTTTATTAATTTAAAGGAACGGAGAAACCCATATTCGATGCTAACACTTGACCTTATATACCGTTATCCCTCTATAAAACCAACAGTAACAATGAATTCATACAAAAACTCCGCTTCCCATACAGATCGATTAAACGAGCCTAGAATAATGACACTGGGAAGAATAACAAATTATAATAATTCGATGCAAAAATAAAACTTACATAAGTTACCAACAGATCCGGATGGGTGTAGTCTATTCCATCATCCATAATGGTGATTTTGATACCCTTACCAGTATAGCCTAACTCCCATGCTTCTAATACATTCATATCACAACCTTTACCTTTACTAGCTCTGTTCTAAAAAAAATGAAATATAAATATGTACTTATAAATCATACTATTAATTTGTGAAGAAAACTTGTTAATTAAACAGCCCTTAAAGATACCTACCTTCTAGAATCTGACGACAGGTGCATATATGTTGGATATGTCCACCTCAAAGTTTGAAACCGGCTTAGTTTTCCTTAGTTTGCTTTTCACAAGCTCTTGTTAATGGTTAGACGGTTGTTGAGGCTAAAACTTTACACACTGCATTCGACTGATTCTTTTGTTGTTTTCACAAGAGGATTTGGGCTTTTCCTATTGAGCTGGAACAGTGACTGATCGACATCAGCGAGGTGAGATTACAGACAGAGTAACTTGTAGTGACATTGGCGCTTTGACCAATATGTACTCTGATGGTCACAATAGTAACAGCATTCAAGCAAGAAATAAAATCAAGTACAAGTGGATTCATTGTACTGAGGGTGGAATAACACATATCAATGTACAAAGCAATTATCATTGTAATCAAACATCACACGTTTCACGTTATATTCACAATTTGGGGAGGATACCTTGAATATGATTAATGTGTCCGAAAATATCCTGTTGGTCGTTCCCGATTTGACATTTCTGAGATGTAAATTAATTCTGTGTTTTTGTAGTTGTTTACAGACGAGGTCTAGATTCTTGAGCTAAGATTCTCCGTTCATAAATGCGGTCAAACATTTGTCTACATACGTATCGGTCGGTTCAGAGATCAGAAAATTGAAGGAAACCCTGCATGTTCGAGGTTTTTAGTACAGACTGTGGTACCGACATCAATCAGGGTTATCTTTTGTAATCTAGGGATAGATAGTTTTCATGAAGAACTCCTTCGAAAATTATGGGAGTGAGGATGTTACAGGTATTGTAGTTTGACAACACTTTACCAGTAAAACCTATAATTGAATGGCGTCCACCCACTGAAGTGAAAAGTCAGAAGCGAGGAGGTTGGAATAAATACTTGATAGATTATCAATATATTGAGAAGGGACTGGTCTAATCTGGCTAATGATCTCAGGAGACGTTGAGCACGCCGTTCCAACTCGTGGTTTGGTGTGGATACATGACCAAGCGCATTCAGCTAGGTGAGTCCATTAAAACTAATGTGGTCAGCATCAAATGTCGAACATTTACAAAGATATTGATTCTGGTAATTTATTTACTGCTACATTAGTGTCTACTGTCATGACAAATAATAAGGCAACGTATCAGAATAGGACAGAGGCCAATTACGTCATTTTGTGTTGTTTGAGGCTTTTTTTGACTGAATAGACCTAGATGTTGAGAGTTCTGGTGATCTCCAAAACCAAATCGGCAGATGCAGCCAGCTCGTCTACTGCGTTATCTTGAAATCAGACAAGTAATGCCTGCATCTGTTGGGGAAGCCTTGACAAGAAGAGCTGTCCAAACAGGCCATCGTCAAGGGTTTTTTTGACCAACGACCTCTTATATTCGTGGTAATATTTCTGCTGTTGGGTTATCTTGTAGTTCAATGTTGTTAAAGAGTTGGTCTAATCGTTGTCGATCGGTCAGGTCCCTATTCTAGAGAATAGACCTTTTTAGAGTTTCGTAAGGTTCTGAAACATCACTAGTAAAGATACTAGTTATGAAGTACCTTGCAGTAATGCTTTTATCACTGCGAGGAATTGTGTATGTGGGTCTGTCACGCCATGCTTGTGGAGGTCACCTTCTGAGTAGCAGAACTAGGTTTCCATATTGTCGGACCAAAATGGTATGAGCAGAAGTGAAGGAGACGAAAGTCTTAATCTGTTAGGTAATGATGAACATAAAGTATACCAGTGAAAGAGAAAAAAATGTCCAAAACTATTAAAAATATATCAAGGTGGTTAGTAGTTGAGGAGGATTAGTAGCACGGTGTACCCACTCGTGATATGGTGCGGATGCATGACCAAGTCCCTTCCTTAGCTAAGTGAGTCCAGTAAAAACTAATGCGGTCAGCATCAAATGCTGAAGCCTTACAGGGCTAATCTGTATCGGGTAGAGAGAGGTATCTACCTCAGACAATGGAAAACGGTTTCACGATTCTGTGAATTGGTTGGAGTCAGACATTAACCCGGTTGGATGCTGCTCGGCTCAGTGGTCCGAAGAGTGCGTTCGCGAGAGAGACCGAAGGTCCTGGGTTCTAATCTCGCGTGCGGGATCGTGGATATGCACTGCTCATGAGTCCTATACTAAGACGAAATGGCCGTTCTGTGCTTCCAGGTTTTCGGTGGTGGTCTAACGCCGATCGATTCATGGTCTCAATCAAAAACCTACAGAGCTATTGGTTTTGGGGGTTTATTCTCTTCTACAAATTTAGTAGTTTAAAGCCTTTTTGGAAACAGGGAAGACTGAAAAATATAATGGATATTTAACTGGTTTGAATTTAGTAACTTGATGTTAAAAAAGACCTTCACAAAAGGCCCTAGATTGAGTGCTTAAGACAGATGGTTTGTATCGTGATTTATGTCGGTCATTCAGGGAAACGAGAGACTTAACGAGTTCTCCATTTCATAATAGTTTTATTGAGGGGTGACCTGGAGTTATGATTACGAACTTTAGATAATGAACTGTGGAAATTATCTTCATTTTCTACTTGTTATCTCATTGTGCCATACTGTAATGAATCAGCTATACTGTCACCAAAACTCATGTGAAATGCCTTCAGTGGAATATGTCGTTAGAGTCGATGGAACGTTCTCGGATGCTAAGGTAGTCGCTCGACTGCACGACTTGAAGCTAGTTGATGAAGTATCTCTTATTTGTTGATCATTTTCAAATTAGATGATTGGATTTAAAGGAATGTACATAATGCACTCAAAAGTTAGCGCATTTAAAAGGCGCAAGCGTCGGGCTGTGGTGTCCATAAGAGGTCCAGGGGTATGGCTTATTTTAGGTTTACTCTCCGTAGGTCAAGTGGTTTATTAAACAAGAATTTCTTAAACGTACTAAGCGTTCCAGTGTGCCGACCGTATTTTGGGATGATCCGCTGTATCCTGATATGTGGTACCTGGTAAGTATTCGTGTATTTTTCAATCAAGTTGGAAGAGGAACTTCGGTTTTATATGTTTTCAAACCCCATCTCGAATTGTGCAGAAATAGCAAACTGATTGTTCAGTTGGATCATCATCAGGATTTCAGAGGTGGTTCATTCATATTAAACAGCAAAATTCTCATGTTGATTCTCCAGATATCTGGATGAACGAAATTATTCATCAATAGGAAAAACTAAGGGAATCATTTAAAATATACTTTTTCTGTACCATTAGTTCCAAGGTGGATATCAAGTTTTCTTTATAAAGAATCAGCTGAAGTATCATTAATATCTCATCCAAATATCGATTTAAATATCCTAACCCAAGAAAAGTACTTATATCTTTGTATCTTATGCACATATATTCCCCGTATTTGGAGCTACAGCTTTCTCCTATTTACCCATAATGCTTCGGTTTTATTTATTAACGGACTTTGACTTACTTAAAATAAGTTCAGTTGTTAAGTTCTGCCGGTACGATTATGTTGTTGATATTCCGACAATATTTCTTACTAATCAAATTTTCAAGATTGCTTTTTTGAATGAGGGTTGGTGTTTTGTAACTTGAGTTATTCTAAATGGGCTTTTGTTCTCCTACTATTAATGAATTTTGTGAGTTAACCATAAGATTAGAGGTTTCACCCACCTATGTTGAAATGATTATTTACGACACAGCTTCATATACATGTGTTTTCGGTGAATAGAAACCATTTTTTAGTTATTTTGTAGATGAAATTATAAGCTGATCCAACCCACACAAAGATACTCATTTTTGTTTCGTAAATGGTAATGATAAATAAAAAATTTCTTTAGTAGCGTGAAATGTACAGCTGAAAATTAGGTATCTTATCGGTTATCCAACTATCATATTCATCAGTTCTCAGACTGTTAGTGACAAAAGTGATTACAAAACTGTATGCAACCCTAGTTGCTTAGCAAAATTTATGAATGCTAATTTATTTATTTCAACACATAAATATTGGTACAAGAAAGCACCAGATATATATGCGCCATACAAATCTCAATCGATTTGCTTGAGGGCTGTGATACTGCCCAGGTGCCCGAACTGAAGCAGGTGGTTTTCTTAGGGGCCCACACCCGGAGCCTTAGACCGAAAGATCTGATCCACAAGGCAGTGGAGCATCATGAGGAGATGCAGTCCCATGGTAGCCGGTGGTCAACGATTGATTCGTACGCCATTTGTTCCCCCAGGATACTGGAGCCCATATGCACCATCGGTTTGGAATCAGGGTTTTCCAACTCCACTAGGTGGACTTTCCGTATTCACCAACCCGGTTAAAGCGCCGAACATTCGCTTTTCGTTTTCTCAATTTCGTAAACAACAGTAGTGCCACGAGAAGGCAGTGAGTAGGACTTCCCTGACAGACGCTATATATTAGCTGGCCATGTAAGAGCATTTCGAGAGGGAAAGTGGACTGTTCCCACTCTCGGCCGTACCAGGGTATTTGGGGGCACTTGAAACGTCCTTATTGTCGCCCATATAGTGTGGCTCTGTTCTTTAGAAGTTATTCAACATTATCGGTAATCATTACACATCCTTGATGTTTTCTTACATTTTACTGGTTTGGCAGTAATGGCATAATCCGAAAATTCGCGAAAAACTGTTGCACTTTTGAACAAATATTCCGAATCCCTATCAAGTGATTTCCATAAATATCAAACCATTGTGTCAAAACAACATGATCTTTATTTATTTTTGAGGTATTTTAGAATTTTCTTACCACTTTTAGGCTATAAGTATTATAGGTTGTTGTAACGCGTTTATCAACTACAGATTTACGTCCTCTATCTTTAAGCCAAACTTTGTATAATAGCTAGGGATAATGCCAAGTATGCCGAATCGAAGTTTATTTATTTAAACATAAATATTGATACAAGGAGGCACCAAATAGATATGCGCCACATAAATCATTCGATTTGTGTGAGGGTTGAGATACTCCCCGGGTGCCCAAGCTGAAGCAGGTGATTTTCTTAGTGGGCCATACCTGAAGCCTTTAACCTAAAGGTCTAATCCACCAGGCAGTGGAGCAACGTCTGGAGATGCAGTCCCATGGCAGCCGATGACCAGCAATAGGTTCATATGCCCCCAAAAGCCTTGGTACGGCCGAGAGTGGGGAGAGTCCGCTCTCCCTCTCGAAATGCTCTCACATGGCCAGCGAATATATAGCCTCTGCCAGGGAAGTCCTACTCACTGCCTTCTCGCGGCACTACTGTTGTTTACGAAATTGAGAGGATGAAAAGCGAATGTCCGGCGCTATAACCGGGTTGGTGAATACGGAAAGTCCACCTAGTGGAGTTGGAAAACCCTGATTCCAAACCGATGGTGCACATGGGCTCCAGTATGTTATACATCTCCGCCTGCTATGTTAAACGTTTTACGTGTATCAACTCATCATCCAACTTGATATACGTTTGTGAATTAGATAAAATGCTAGGTATACTACTCGGGAACTCAGACTAGAGTAGATAAGAGGGAATGGGTAAATCTGCGACCCAGACGTTAAAAGCCAGTTGGTTTAACGATTAAATCACCACCCTAACTTTTGGTTGAGTTTATTTATCTCCCTTTCGTATTGAATATCCATAAAATTGTTATGTATCACTAGTATAGTTATTGTATGAAAATGGAAGATAAATGTAATCATTCAGTAAAAAAGTCATACGTATTAAAACACTTCATTATTATGATCATCATGTTCAGTCGTAGGTCGTATCATTTTCTGGTCACAAGGAACTGTTTCCTGATATTTTCTGTGCATCCACCGAAAAAGTCTAGACTTTCTCGTAGTTTCTGAGTTAAACAGTTAAACACACATTTTAATTGGTAAATATTCTTTTCCTTCAAGCTTTTTTATGCATTTTTCTCGTCAGTTTATTTTTATATCTCTATATTTTACACTTAGTACTAGTCTTTTACCCGGTTATTATGGTATTCTAAAGTGTTCTTAAACTGATTCATTAGATTTTCCATTTCTTATTCCAAAACGTTAAAAGCGAAAGCTGTTTAATTAACAAGTTTTCTTCACAAATTAATAGTATGATTTATAAGTACATATTTATATTTCATTTTTTTTAGAACAGAGCTAGTAAAGGTAAAGGTTATGATATGAATGTATTAGAAGCATGGGAGTTAGGCTATACTGGTAAGGGTATCAAAATCACCATTATGGATGATGGAATAGACTACACCCATCCGGATCTGTTGGTAACTTATGTAAGTTTTATTTTTGCATCGAATTATTATAATTTGTTATTCTTCCCAGTGTCATTATTCTAGGCTCGTTTAATCGATCTGTATGGGAAGCGGAGTTTTTGTATGAATTCATTGTTACTGTTGGTTTTATAGAGGGATAACGGTATATAAGGTCAAGTGTTAGCATCGAATATGGGTTTCTCCGTTCCTTTAAATTAATAAACAGATTTATTGAAAAATCCATGCAAAAAATCTATTTTTCCAAAGAAGTCAACTTATTTGGTTCCAGTAACCTGCATTTAAGTGATATTGTTGATCAACGTAACAAACAGACGTTGGACAGAAAGTTATTGTCGTAACTTAACAGTTTAAAATAAGATCTAAAGTAGTGGATGCTTGGTTCAGGTTTGGCAACACCAAAATTTAGGTGAAATCATATCGTACTACCAAGTCTCAAGAGTGGTACATAGCATGTACCAGAGTGCACCACTAAGACATGTGCCATTACTATCGTTTTTTTAAATGTTCTTACTAGAGTCGAGGAATTTTGCAAAAATCAAACATTATAAGCGTTGTTTAGGTATATCATGTTCTAGATCGAACCATAATAAAAGATTTTGTAAAATTATTTCATGCAATAAAAATATTGAGAATATCTGTGAATAGCAAATACTTTAGCTGAATATAGGAACAAAAACCGTTCCTCGTTCTCCGGTTTTTGCTGTTTGGATATGGAGATTTCATCACCAGGCTTAAAGATTGTGTTGTCAGCACTAACGGCATATGTAAACCGTGGTTAGTTTTACTGAAGTTACCAACCTCGGTTGTAAAATGTCCATTATTAAGTATTAGGAGAAATTAGTCGGACAGTTTTTAATATCCGCTAGTCTGCACTTTTTTTCTTGTCGATAAAGATCACTTCCTAAAGGAAAGTCATGTTCATTGAGGTAAGATGGTGGCTACATCTCAGTCCTACAGGAGGTTGGTCGCGGCCCGAATAGCTCAGTGGTAACGACTCTGATTGTGAAGCTGAGTGACGCGGGATCGAATCCGCCAGGGAGCATCAGTTCCCTCAGGATTACAGGTACACCTTGCTGACGAGTGCCAAGTAGCACGAAACCCGGGTCCAGGTTTTCCTGTTGACCACCTCCAACCACCATCTTACCTCAATATACATAGTGCAAGCAGTGTCGAGCCACCTAGACTGATGGTCACATTGCAACTCGATCGATAGCATTCGATCAGCACTAAGAAGGACCTGACACGCATGAGATTGATCACCACCCAGTGATCAATCAATTGTGAAAGTCATGTTCATTGAAACTTGGATTTGTACTCTCTGGGGATATCCCTAAAGATATGTTTTGTATATTAGAAATAGCTTTGTAAGGTTAACTAGTGTATTCATTAGTTTTTGTTACGTATTAGGATTTGTCAGCTAGTTTTGCTGTTGGTTGAACGATGTATGTCCAATATCATTGTCAAGTAGGTCTACTCATATTGGCCTTTTGACTTCAATATTACTACATGATTATAGGGTTAATGTTGCTACACCCTAATTAATTTGTTAAACTAAGGTAGTTACCGGGTTAGCCTGTTAACGGAATCGATCCCAAAGTCCAGACAAAACAGATTTCAGAAGATAAAACCAATGATCGAATCCCCGAGTATATTATTTGAGATTAAAATTTCATTTTTACATGAAGTATTCAACTAAGATTAATGGACGATAAAAACAGTAGTCACAAAGCAGTTGATAATCTATTTTTTCTCTCGTCATATCAATTATTGTAGTTAGAATTAAAGCATTATCATGCTTATGTTCAACGTAAAATGCCATTCTTGAAGCTTGTGCTACGACAAATAAATAAAAATACCAAACTTAGGCACAACTTCTTAGACTTGATTTCCGTTATTCAAATGATAATTCATTGGGCATTTCGACAATTTCTCATTGTAGCAGATTCATAAACTTAAAAATATCTTTCCGAAACTTGTTAAACATATCTTATTTAGATTCATTCAGTATTGTTTGTTTGAATCTTCCCATCGATTTGTTAGGACTGCAACTGGTCAGTCTCTAATTGGCATATGTGCATACTTCACCCCATCGCACAAGCAAGTGGCTATCAGGACTCAGTGGCCGAGTGGATAACGCGATGGCGTTCGAAGCGAGGGTACTGGGTTCGAGTCCCAGAGTGAACATCAACTCTGAGATGCAGGTACATCCAGCAGACGAGTCCCAAATAGGACGAAACTCGCGTCCTGGATTCCACTGCTAGCCACTATCTGTCTGCATATCTTATTTAGGTTGTATCAAATGATGTGAAACCAAATAGACATCAGCCTATATGAAATATCTGTATGTATTTAAAAAACGAACTAACAAACAAACGTTTTGTGACTGTTACATTATCTTCGGCAAATAAACAATATTTGTTACCATTGTTTTCATATTTTAAATTGTATAGAATTGCTTTTAATTGTTTTTACTTACCATGATTACCATTTTCTGTTTACTGATTTTAACAAATACGTTGCACAAAATCAATAAATAAGCCTGCATACTGTCTAAATTGTGAGATTCTGTTAAAAAATATCGTTATTTCAGAATAATGCCAATAATGATGATATCCAGAACTTAGTCACATAATTTAAAAACTAGCTTATAGACACTAGAAAATAGGTAGATAGGGAATATAAATAAGTAATGGATGAAATTCAGTTAGCTTTACAAAACAATATGCATCTGACTAATTGACTGTTTAACTGATTAAGTAGCTAACTGATGATAAATCTAATAAACAAATAATGTAAACACGGTATGACTTATAGTCAGACACTGTTTATATGAACTGGAGAAAGGGAAGGTAATAGTAGAAAGGATACCATTTTATGAAAATGAGACAATCCTTGTCATGGTGAAAACAGTCAAAGTTTATATGACGAAATAGAAATATGATGAGTCTATTGAAATTATATCTTTGTATGGGGAAAAACTCAATGGGACAACGTTATTTACACACTTATGTATATTGAGATAATTAATATACGGTGAAAGCACTCAGTTTGCATTGACTGTTTTTACTGTTTTAATCCTGAAAATTCTGTATTTGTTTATATTTACTACTACTGACGCTTATGGACTTTTTTCATTTTTTTTCATCATTACTGTTTGGGCATCTCATGTTAATTTTACTTTTACTATTCTGCTTCATAATAATTTTTTTACGTTATATTCATTTGGAAATATCATAACTCAGTGTCCAACAAATTGCTTTGGTATGACTTCATTTTTTCCATGTAGAACTGGTGTTGCTAAGTAGATTGATATAATGATAATAGATTTCACTGGACAACATAGATGAACATTGAATACGTCTAGTTCACCCACTCCCGTTGCTATGTATTTTATTAAGTATAATAAATATTATAGGATATTTGAACAATGACAGAAAAACTATTCTTTAGTTGAAAATAATTTCTCCACATACAATTGTACTAAATCTTAATTTACTATTAGAAAATGGTTAAATAAGTTGTGTTAAATGGTCCAACGAAAGAATACACTTTAAAAGGGTCATAAGGAATACATAGAGGCATAAATCAGAATTTAACATGGATAGGTTTCTAACTCATTGATCAACTGTCGAAAGTGTTGGTACCTACTTAGGCTATTCCTTGCGAAGAACTAATAATCTTTCTATTTGGGATAGAGCTACTGATTCAACTATGCTTTGTCCTTCGTACTATATGGTCGACTTGTTTATTTACCTTTTGAAAACAGTTATAGAAAGCTTCTAGTTGAATAATTCTGTTTTTCTCACTTCTACACACAAATGTGAATTTGTTCAAGTTGTTACGTTTCATATTAAAATAATCAGTGGAAATTATCGAGATCCAAAGCAACCTAGTTGAAATGATGGTTATGATAATGGTAGAAAACGAGGAAGGAAATATGGTACGATAGGAATTCCGAGAATAATGAGTATGTGATAATGTTGAGGCTGAAGTTTAGTGAAAAATAAGGAATAAAAGAATTTAAGCTAAACCAGTTACTTCCAAGCCATTTCGCTCATGACTTCCAACTACACATAACAGTCTTCTTGTTGACCACAATCAGAAATTATGTACAAATTAGTATGATTCCAATAAATGGTTGATGAATTCACAGACTGTTATCCTATCTTGATCTGGCTGCTCTTCGCGTTTATCTAACCCAATCTTTTGTTAGTTGGATTAGTCAGCCAGATCAAACTAATGAGACTCATAAAATCCTGAAGATAATTCATTCTACCTTAGATACTGTAGCCTCCGTCACTCGGGATCTCATTGTAAGAAATAGCTGTTAAAATTAAGTATGGTGCAATAATTAGCCGGCAGATAGTAATCGCTTTGTTTTCTCGTGAAATCTTTAGTGCTTGTAGGATTCTATCGTCTAAAATATGTTCATGAAAATACTTTATTCAATGTTGCAGTATATTGTGCGTAATGATGATCGATGATTCAATTTTTAATGATTTAACTCCACTCAGCCAACAGTTGTAATATTTTGAATAAACAGGTACTACTTCCAATTGTCTAATGGTTCTTTTATTGCGTGGATTTATATATATAATGGAGTTAAACTTCTCCAATTTATTAATTTATATAATTCCTTGTCTTTACAGGATCCTAAAGCTAGTATCGATATTAACGGTCATGATAATGATCCCATGCCAAACATACGAAATCGTGATAATAAGTAGGTTCTGTTTACAAAATGTATTTTATCTTACATAATAACTACTGATTGTCTGGTTTACCACATGTCTTACTTACGCCTGTTACCCCTCGTGGAGGAGCATAGACCGCCCACCAGAATTCTTCATCCAACTCTGTCATGGACAATCCTTCCCATCTGTTTCCAGTTGCTATTCATCCTATTCATGTCTGCTTCCAATTCTCGGTGTAGTGTGTTATATCACCTTCCTCCTTACCGTTTCCGTTTACCATTCCAAGTTAGCACATGTCTCGTGATTCTGTCTGGTGATTTCCCTAATGTAAGTCCTATCCACTCTCACAGTCTTTTACTCACTTCCTCTTCAGATCGAAGCTGAATTTCCCTTTCCCACAGTAGGATAATTGTTGCTGATGGTATCCGACCAACGGACATTGAGTATCTTGTGTAGACAATTGTTTATAAATGCTTGTACCATTTTGATGATGGTTGTAATAGTTGTGGAAGTTTCAGCTCCACACAATAGAACTGACTATCTTGAAGTTCGTATTGAATATCCTCACTTTGATATTGGTTGAGAGACAGTTGTTTTGAGTTGCATATGCCGTTCAATTGTAGGAATGCTATTGTTGCTTTGCCAATCCTCACCTTGATGTCTGCACCGGCTCCTTCTTGTTCATCGATAATGCTGACCAGTCAGTCAGGTACGTGGAAGTTTCCACCTGTTCCAACATAGTTTCTCCATCAAGTGTAATTGGTTCGTTTGTTGTTCTCCGTGTTGTGTTTGAGGATGTTGGTGTCTCTCTTGTCAATGTTGAAGTCTAGTGCAGCAGAGACCACTACTTCACTAGTTGTTTTGATCTGCATTTGTTCGTGTGTATGGTATAGAAGGGCTACTACTGGTATATTGTCAGGTCTTACTGCTTTTCCACTGTTGATTTGTCTGATGGTCACAATTGATTTCTTCGATAGTTGGTGGAGTGACATGTATAGGAATGTCTGTGTGTGTTGCTTCGATATCTCGTGGATTCAATGGAGCTGGTCTATTCGAGAGTTCCTCGAAGTATTCTGCCCATCCGTTCCTCTGTTCTTGAATCTCAGTGATTGTCTTGCCTTCTTTGTCCTTAACCAGTTTCTCTGATTTACTATATTTGCCTACCAGTTTCTCCGTCATGTCATATAGTTGTTTTATATTTCCTTCTGTTGCAGCTTTCTCTACTGTCGTCGCTAGGTCTTCCACATATTTATGCTTGTCAGCTGTAATCCCCCTCTTCACTTGCTTGTTTGCTTCTGTGTATCCAACTTGTGCCTTGAATTCCTCTGCTCGTTTTCGACTGTTGTTAATTTCTATCTTCTTGTTCTTCTTCCTTTGTTGAATCCGAAACAGGGTTTCCATAGAGATGCATTCCTTATGATGTTTGCTGCAACGCAGAACCCCTGACACTGAAGTTAATGCTTCTCTGATCCATTTCCAGTTGTTCCCTATGATAGTTTATTCTTCTTTGAGTAGATTATGTAAGGGTTGGAACCTGTTGTTTGTCAGTTTGTTGAATGAAGTCTGTATTGAACTTTTTTACTGCTCTTTCCATGGATCTCCAGTGTTTCTTTAGCTTCGGTTTGATCTTGGCCACAACCAGGTGGTGATCTGAAGCTATTTGAGCTCCTCTCCTAGTTCTTACTTCTTCCATTGACCTTCTGAATTTGTTAGTGGTGCAAATATAGTCGACCTGATTCTATGTAGTGTGATCCGGTGATACCCTTGTGGTTTTATGTATGCGTTTGTGTGGGGATGTTGTGCCGCCTACAATCATTTTCCTGAATGCACATAAATTTGCAAATCTGTCACTATTCTCGTTCCTTTCTCCTAGTCAGTCCATGTCTTCCCATGCTCAACCCTCTTCCTTTGTGTGAGCTTGGGAGCGACAGTAGCCCTAGACGTGCTACAGGCGGAGTTATCGAAATCTAGGGTAATGTAAATTTGAAATTAAGGAAGGTAAATAAGAGAAGTTATTTATCTTATTGTCAAGGATTCCGAACCCTTTCAAGTCTGCTAGAATTCATGAGACTACACAGCTTGCATCATTCCTCCTCAAGGATTAATAGGTCGATTTCTGAGGATTATATCCCTATCTTGCCATTTTCATGCTTATTTTAATGTACTTCTGCCTCATTAAGTGTGTTGTATCAATCGAGAATGTGAATGGAGAAAAATCAATTGTCAAATTTGTTTATTTACTACTGAATCACGTAATTAGTTAAAAATTTCTCATGTTAGAAAATAATACTTATCTGCCAGATTGAGGTGAATAAACCATACAGTTGTCGTTTCACTTTTCTACATACATGGATTGTGTGAGTAGATTAAATCAACTGAATCCTTCAACTATGCAATGCACTTAGGTATCTGGTCATTTTATTTGAAAACAGTTGTTTTATTCTCACTCTGGACTTTGTACCTTGCAAGCTTTTATACTGATTCTGCTAGATGAACGCTTCATACTCATGTATGAAAACAAACCACGTGAAGTGTATGAAAATTACTAAGATTTAAGTTTGACACCAGTCTTTTCAGAAAAATTGACTACTGTCTTCGGGAATCACAATTTGTAGTAAAATTTTCATGATTTTGTAAATTTAATCTTATCTCTACACCTAAAAATTAACTAGTATTTTTTTTCTAGATTTATTTTGGTTTATGTAGGTAGTGATTTTAAATCTTTAGTTACAAAAGTCTGTCTCTGAGGTGCTTATAAAAATCTTGAAAGCTCTGAAGCTCATTTGAAAACACAGCATTTTATAGTCATTATCACCAACAATAGTGGATTATTACAGCCACACAACATTATTCACAATGTATTTTCAGTCGGTCAGTCACAACGTAAAACTTCTTACGTACGTACATCAGTTCAATTTGCCATACCACATTAGCACAGAGATTCAATTGTCGATTCAAATCCCATATTGGTAGAAGTAGTAAGAGTATAAGCAGTACTCCGAAAGATTAGGGTTTGAAGGTGTTATTCAAGGAGTATAATCCAGTGAAATAAATTTGGAAAGAGAAAAAAGATAGAGACATGGATAATTCAGAAGATTAGAATTTGAGAGAACACAAAGAGTGAATACACCTTCGCCATTGCAAACGATTTTGAGCCATGTCATTCAAGGTCTCTAACCATCGATTGTTATAATCTCGCGAATCCCAACCAGGTAGTCTACACCTACCAACATGGTTCAGTCTAATTGTCAGTGACTTCATGGATTTGTGCCACGTTTTGGTCTGGCCGCCCCTAGCTTTCTTCCAAATAACGTACCAAGTAACAGTTTAGTGTTGTTTTGTAATCCTTCAAATGATAATTCATGTGATTACAGCTTAAGTTATGACTCAAAGCTGAAAACAGTGATAATCATATTGTAAGCATCTTTTGTCTTTCAAATACGTAAACATCATGGTTAACTTTTAGACATCCTAGGAATTTATCATGTTATTGTCTAAAAAAAAACCTACTGTTTTTTGTTTAAATGATTTTAAGACACGGGACTCGATGCGCTGGACAAATTGCAGCTCAGGGTAATAACTCTGTATGTATTGTCGGTATCGCTCATAATGCACAGATCGGTGGTAAGTTCTTGTATATTGATAAAAATGGATTTTTTTTCTTTATTTTACAGTTTTGTTTTATTCCATACTATTTATATAGTTACCAAATAATGCATATCAACTGAATTATAAATTATAATGTTTTTTCTTATGGATTTGTTTGTTCATTCCCGTTTTGTTCGTTTTTTTTCATCAAAGATTTACACAGATTTTTATGCTGTCATATTTTTTATGAGTTCACTAAAAAATAATCCAAGACCTAATGCAGTATACAGTATACACTCTCATTTCCTGCTACAGGTATGATTCAAAACTTAGAACCAACAGAGTTTTTTTGTTGTAAATTACTGTATGCGCAAATTAAGGGGTTTAATTGAAGAGGTTTGTTTTGTGAACATTTGGTTATTAATTAATATGTTACTCAAATAGAAAGTTTCTTTTTAATGTTTGCCTTACACTAAAGGTTCATTTATTGAGGAAAGTGATAAAATCAAAACAATTTATACTCGGTATGACAGAATCTCTATGCTTTGTACCGATGATATTTCTCTTGGATAATTGTTTACTCCAATAATACTGTAATCTTATTATGGAAAGGAAATATATTAACAAGTTTGGACTCTACAATTTGTATATTCTTTTTTATAGCTACACTAAGATTTTTAACAATAGGAAGTGAGAATCTTTTCATAGTCTACATAAAGTGAGACAAAATTATTAAGTCAAATGTCAGACAAGTAGAATTAGTATCAATATCACTGATAGTATAAAAATTTATTTTCTATACAAAAAGAAAAATGAATATTATTGTTATGCTTATCATCACATATATTATTTTTATGGTTCTGGACTTGGCCTTAAAAATTTAATCTATTGCTCATTATAGCCTCAGAATTTCATAGTGTAAGAATGTTCAAGAAACAGCAATACTATTAAGATCACTAAACGACCTAAGTTGCACAGTTATTGAAAGCTGGAAGCACTAGGCAGCTGTTCCGTCTTAGTATAGGACTCCTCAGGAGTGGCTATCCACGACTTCACCGGTATTGAACTTATGGTCTTCAGTTTTTTTTCAGCGAGAGCTTAACTTTTAAACTACTGAGCTCAGACCCATTGGTTTACATGTCTAACTTCAATAAATTCACGATATTGTGCAACCATCTTCCATTGTCCCTGGGTAACTGCCCTACACCGTACACGTACTTCACTGGTCTCGAATTCCTACTGATGATGACTTGATAATATCGTTTGATTAGTCGGTAAAAAGAGATTGACATGCCCTCGTATACAAGAGCTATTACTAATCTTATATATCATTTTCTTCTTCATACAGATTATTTTGATTTTGATTAGTAATCTTACAATTAATCTACTTAAACTCCTATTCATCATTATTATCTTTATGTATTTCATTTTGTATGTATAAAGTTTAGTCTTTACTGTTTATTTTATATAATTCTTTATTTATTGTTATAACACTTCAGTCTGAACGTATCCACTTCCTTCATAATACTTGCACAGTTGTAAATAAAATTTCATTTGTTTTTTTGACTTTTCTATAAATCTTTGCAAACTACACAGACGATCGTCTATAGAACATATTAATTTGTACCCATTTTCTAATTTATTCATTCGGTTTATCATTAATTTCATCACATTCGTTCATTTGATTTTTATTTTAAAATTGATGATTAGATAAGTTGTTATTTATATAATTGTTCATTGTAACAATTTGCGTATCGATGGAAACTGAAAAATTGTAAAGGTATTTTTTATTAAATCACAACATTTTTAGGTGATTATACTGATGTGTTTAGTGTGATCAGGCTTTTAACTAATAAAAGCATAGATAATATTGCTAGCCACTATCCATCTTTGCTTATAATGCTTGTGAATTAAGGCAATATCGAGGCAATACGCACAGTATGCACATATGCCAATAAGAGACTGACCAGTTTCAGTTCTAAACATCAATGGGTAGATTCAAACAAACAATACTAAGTGAATTTAAACTTCACCCCATTGCACAAGCGAGTGGCTATCAGGACTCAGTAGCTGAGTGGATAACGCGATGGCGTTTGAAGCGAAAGGTACTGAGTTCGAGTCCCAGAGTGAATATCAGCTCTGAGATGCGGATATATCCAGCAGACGAGTCCCAAATAGGACGAAACTCGCGTCCTGGATTCCACTGCTAGCCACTATCCATCTTTGCTTATTTTTAAGTATAGTTAGTAACAATCTTCTAGTTTCAAACTGAAGTATGTATTGTGCTCGTCTGTTTGAATAATATCATACTTCTGTAGGCGTTATATTTCATCAATGTTGCTATTGTTTAACATCATTCCTTAAAGTTTGTATAGACAAGAACATAATAATAATAAAAATGTCAGTCCCCGGGCTACTAATCTGTTTAAATTTATATCACTAACTTTGATCATTCATTCAAACCATGAGTAATAAACATTCGTTCTTAAATAACCTTCAACCCCTTATGCAAATTTAATAGAGTAAAAATGGAAAGCATTCCTAATAGTATAATAGACAAAGTAATTCTCTTTCTTCTCTTTTATGTATAATTATGATTCATCGAGCTTATCTTGAGTTTTGTTCCCATTTCATGCTATGTAATTATGTTCTCCAACATAGTTTATTCTGATCATTGATGTCCTTCGTAATCCTAAATATCCATTGTTTTTACTAAGTTTATGAATTAGATTTGCAAATAGTTTTATGCTGTTGTCCACCTCAGTTTTCAATGTGTAGTATATATTAACTTTCCCTAACAACTAAACATTATTACATAGAATAGATTGTATTTGCCCAGCAGTGCAATCAAGGACGCTCATCTCTTCCTATTTTGGTAATGTAAGATGGCAGCACCTGAGTCCATAGTTATTTTTCCACGGGGTTCGAACCCAGTACCGTTCGCTTCAAACGTAAACGCGCAAACGTCCCAGCAAGTCTCGAATAGGGCGAAACGCGTGTCCTGTATGTAACTGCTAACCACATTTAATCTATTATGTCTAAGCTTATGTCACAATAGTCATATCGATGAAATCCTCACAGGGTTCACATCTGCCAACCAATAGCTAAGTTGTTGTGTTTCAGGTGTATTGTTCGCTACGGAAGCTCTAAAATCTGGTCCAAACTTAATACTAATTCACCTTTAATGTAATGCATACATTATCGAAGTGAATATTGCTTTGATTAGGAAAATTAGTTTACGTGGAACATGATGTTCGACGCCATTGTTAAATATCTTAAAGGGTAATCCACTCGACTCCCGATCACTAATTTTTCATGTTTTTATTTGTCTCTACCTATTTTGATTGACTTACCGGTTGGTATCATTTAGGATGCATACAGTATGTTTCAAAGCCTAGTCTACAAAGTTGTGCTTGATCAATAATTTTTCGACTGTCCTATCACTTAGTGGTGACTTTTGTCGTGTTTTCTCTATTCTTTTGCTAAGATTGGTAACAATCCAATAGAAATTATTAGTTGACTAAAACTCGTGTTTATTAACTATAGTAGGCCTAAAGCTATTAGGAATTCATTCAATAATCAGAGTTGTTTAAAACGAAGCCTAACCCTACTCCATAGATCTAGAATAATGAAAACTGTAAACGTGACTTTCTAAAAATGTACCTGATAAAGGATTAACATGATAGCTAGGTTTTCCTCAATACAATTCCCTTATATTTGGTTCAGTATTAAGGAATAGATTGTTAGATTTATTAATAAGTAATCAGAAGGGGTTTTGTGGGGATTTCAGTGTTTTCATAGTTGAAATCATGAGTCAATTGAATCTAGACCACCATGGAAAACCTGAAAGCACTGGACGACCGTTTTGTCCTATTGTGGGACTCCTCGGCAGTGCGCATCCACGATCCCGCACGCGAGATTCGAACCCAGGGCCTACCAGTCTCGCGCCAGAGCACTTAACCGATAGACCACTGAGCCGACATCCGATGGTGTTGATGTCTAATGAGACGGCCGTCTAGTGCTTCCAGGTTTTCCTTGGTGGTCTAGCTTCAATTGACTCATTATTTCAACTATGAAAATTGTTAATAAATATTTATTGTATATTCTAATTTTTTTATAAAATTTAGCCATTTGTGGTCTGACGTTTATTAAGGACTTTTGTTGACCAACTCAAGATTGAAATTTAGAGTCAATGTAACCAGTATATTTCATCTACTTATTGTCAGTATGCGCAAAATTCAAGTTTATAGCTTCCTTTTGATTGTATAAATAGCAGGTATCTTTCTTCCTACATCAGTAATATATATATATATATATATATATATATATATATATATATATATATATATAGTTTGCCACGGATTTATTTTCAAACAGTTGAATACTTAAATATCTTTTTTTTCATAGAACTTTACTTATTTACGCCTGTTACTCCCAATGGAGCATAGGCCGCCGACCAGCATTCTCCAACCCACTCTGTCCTGGGCATTCCTTTCTAATTCTATCCATTTTTTGTTCATTCTTCTCATGTCTGTCTCCATTTCTCAGCGTATTGTGTTCTTTGGTCTTCCACTTCTCCGCCTGCAGCTCCTCTGGGGGCTACTGCCGGTCCCAAGCCCGGGTAAAGGAGGAGGGTTGGGCATGGGATTATCGACCCCATCTCGTAGAAAACCAACTCGGTAAAAATCGCTAACCAGAAAAAAATTTCATAGGACTTAACGTGTATTTATTAAAATGAAAGCTCTTTAAAAATAATGGAATAATTTTAAATTAACTAACAATATTATAAAATATACAGTATTAATTTACTTTTACTAAAGAAAAAAAACGAACAAACAAATAAATAAAATTATGAAGCACGTCCCTATCAATGAGATAAAGTTAGGATATTAAAAACAAGTCATGGGTTATTTATGAATGCATATATAGTGTAAGAAGACAATGAAGAAGTGTAGAGAATTTAATTCGATAGATAGGTAAGCATAAATCCATTGACTTTCTCTATTTTTTTCCCCTATCATTTCATTTCTTTATTC